TTTTAATTTTAAAAAATGTGACTAATTGTTTTAAAAAAAAATGTGACTAATAAACATTACTTGCTAAATTACCCATAGTGACTTTAGCTGACCCGCCCAGTGACCATCACCGCTGTGGCCACTGCTGCTGGCAATAGTGACCACTGTTGGTCACAATGACTGCCGGTGGCGGCCACAATGACCTCAGCTGACCAGTGACCACCGCCGGTCACAGTGACCACTGCCTTACAGTTACAACCTCCACAGTGACCTAGTTTCCAACCATTTCCGCTCAGTGACACCGCCGCCCCGCTGCCGATGACACCGCAACCGTCGCTCCTGATGATGACACCGCCTACCGCCCTCACTCCAGCCCCCTCCCCTGCTCCCCAGCCGCAGCCCCCTCCCTTGCTCCCCAGCCCCCCTCCACAGATACCCAGCCCCCGCCACAACCTGACCCGCCCAAGGGCCGCCCAGCTCCCCCGCGACACCTCCTTGCCCCAACAATCAATGCCCTGCCTCACCCCTCTACAAATCGCAATCCCATAGCCCCTTTGTGACTCGCCGTAGCCCCAACAGCCCCCACCCTGCCCCTCGCTACTGCATGAATCGCCGCCACTGATCAATTCTAATTTTAATTACATCTTAAATTTTTCCGCCAAGTAACCCAGTCACAAGATATTACTTCTGTATATAAAACACTAATCCATCACTCTACTTATATATATTTTTTTCTTTTATTAAAATAAGTCCCTATTTTTTATAAAATCCCAATCTTTAGGAAATAAGTAGGACTGGGTTACTTGGCGGTGTAAAGTGAGTTAGGAAAATCTCTGTGTGCTAGGCAATTAACTCGGGAGTTTTGAAACAGAGTAAGCAGGTAAGCTATACAAGAAAGTGTGCATTCAAGTAACAAGTACTTGCCTAGTAGTCAACCATTAAATAAATTAGGCCAGCCCGTCAGAGGCAGTCTCAGAAGGGGTGTTGCATTCTCTGCACTTGTAGTTGATTATTTTTCTCTATTACCAAAAACAATAGATGGAAGAGACAAAGTATATAAGAAAAGAAAATAAGGATGGGTTACTAGAGGCGTGTTTAGAAGAATTGAACCCGGTACCCATGATCAAAGAGAACCAATTTGAAAATCAAGGGCAATATTGGACACTTCAGGAGTGACACAACTTCACTTTATGTAGCAGCTATAGTTCAAGGAATAGGCACTTCTAGATTAGATTGAGACACATTACAGGCTTTCTATTTAATTTCCAACTCCGCTTCCTAGTGTGTCACTATGTCCTACGTAGTACTTTATTACAGGAATTGCAATGCCTAGCATTCCCTGCCCATTACATTTTTCTTTCGAGCAGTAGTAGTTACCACGTGGAGATGGTGGAGCAAAGTATGTATCCTATGCATGCATCATTGGCACTTAGCAAACTTGTCAAATTTTCGCCCAAAAAGTAACGTTTAACCATGAACTTAACTGATGAAATACCAGCCGATTCTATGTTATCGTGGTAATAAGTTGATTGAGTTTTTTGAAATTTGGATGTGCGAAATAAAAACAATAAGATACATAATTCCATGTGGATTTGTATCTGTCTGTTAAAATTTCTTAGGTAAATTTGTTGTAACATATATATGCTATTCAACAGGATCCACCCGAATATGCAGTTGTCACATTGTGCAAACATGTATTCTGCTATCAATGTGTATCAGAGTATCTGACTGGGGATGACAACACATGTCCTGCTCCTGGATGCAAAAAACAACTCAACACTGATGCTGTATTTTCAGAGGCTGTCCTTAAAAGATGCACTTCAGATAATATAGATAAAGATCCTTTGAATTTGTCAGTATTGGATGATAAATCATCTTCACTGGGGAAGAACTTTTGTTCTTCTAAAATCAAAGCATGTCTTGAAATTCTGAAGTCATTCTGTAATTCAGAAGAGTCCAGCAAAGATTTGGATATCTTGGTCCAATCCGACGAGGAAACACCATTTTTTGAAAACAAAGACACGGCCGAAAAGACTAAAGGTCCAATAAAAGCTATTGTTTTTTCTCAATGGACAGGCATGTTGGACTTGGTTGAAATTTCACTAAAGAAGTCTAGAATAAGGTATGAAAGGCTTGATGGCACTATGAGTCTTGCCGCTAGAGACAGGGGAGTTAAAGAATTCAACAGCAATCCCAAGGTCGGAGTTTTTAGTGTATAATTTCAGTTCAATCATTTTTTTCTATCATTTCTCAGATTTTTTCATACAAGTGTTCTTTTTTTCAATTTTGCTCCACTGAATTTCTGGTTGACACAGCCTTGATTTATTAGATTTTTCTCAGCCAATTTTCTTTTATAGGTGACTGTCATGCTAATGTCATTGAAAGCCGGAAACCTTGGTTTAAATATGGTTGCCGCTTCTCATGTCATCCTTTTGGATCTCTGGTGGAACCCAACTACAGAAGATCAAGCCATTGATCGTGCCCACAGAATAGGACAGACTCGTCCTGTAACAGTATCGAGATTAACAATTCAAGACACAGTTGAAGATAGGATTTTGACTCTCCAGGTTACCTTTGACCTAACCATAGCATCTGATATTTGGACTTGATTTAGATGTTTGCTTTTAGATTGCTGCCAAATTCAGTATTTCTGAACCTCTGGATAGTGGTTATATTTGGTTTCAGATAAATAATTTGTCTTCCTATGACTAACCCACATACCCTACCGGTGGCGCTCCTACCACAATGAGTGTGCTCCCATTGCCACCATAACTGATGCTTGCCTCACCGACCACCGCCCTACCATTGCTACTACCTACTACTACATTGCCATCACCCACTGCCTACCATTGCTACTACCTACAACTAAATCGCCGTCGGCTATCGCCATTGACCCACACTTTCATTGCCGATTATTGTTGCCGCTATCAACCACTGCTGCCAACCATCACTGTCATTGTGGGTTGCTGGCTTGCTGCTTGCCTGTCTAGGGTGTCACCATCGACTAACAGCGCCATAACGGTGTAGCGCATTCCTACTTGCCACTGTTGCCTCTGGAGGTTGCTCATACTCCAAATGGTGTATGAAATTGGAATACATGTGCTAAAGCATGTTTTCCAAATTAGAAAATAGAAAATTATAAAATAAATACAAAACTCGAAGAAAACAAAGAGTAAAAACACTCACTAAGATGTTTCTGAAACTAGGACTACTGTATCTCTATGCTTCAATGTTTGTAAATCCATATCTACTCATCATCATTACCCCAGTGCCGCAAAGGCTCCCACCTACGGTGGTGGGGTAAGGGGGGTCGGATGTATGCAGCCTTACCCCTGTACTAAAGCACAGAGAGACTGTTCCTGAATCACCCATATCTACTATACTAATAATATTATATCTAATATCTCCAAAGTTAAGACTACTATGTTTTAATACTAATACATTTATATCCTCCAACACTCTTCATGATATGCATAAAATGTTTCAATCATGGTACTGAACATGGAAAAACACAAATTCAAATTGGAAACGTGAACTGAATTCAAAAACGGAAGTTTGAACTGAACTTTAAGTCTTCCAGTTGAACTCCTGAGCTCTTCTTGAATTGATGTTCACTTGAAAGCTTGAACCAGTTGAGAGTTGAACTCTAACTTGGTTTTTGTGTCCACACAAGCGCCCTCAGCACAATTGAACTAGAAGTTGTCAGAAAATCACCCCGTAATCGGCCGCCATGCTGAAATTGAACTAGTCTTTGGACTGCTATGCTAGACTACTGGTAACAGGACTTGTTTTAGTGGATTGATGGAACAAGGTTAGAACAGATACAGGGGACAATACTCCCCTATTTGTTCATGATGTTACCAAGAAAGGGCTTGGAGCTGATCACCAATAGAGGATTTATGGTGGGGTGTGTTGGTGGGATGGATTACCAATTCAAACTATTAGCTAATGATCAGTGGACACTTTACCTCAAAAGCCCAATATCCTATCTCTACAGTACTAGAAGAACTACTTTCTGTCCCCTTTTCGCAAAAGATATCAATAAAGGTCTTATATATTTATTTTTTTAGTATAACTTTTAACAAAATTGTTAGTAATAATTGTTATTTCTTTCAGGAAGACAAGAGAGCCATGGTCGCAAATGCTTTTGGTGAAGATCAAGCTGGAGGCACCGGAATTCGTCTGACTGTTGACGATCTCCGAAATCTTTTTGGGTTCTAAAGAAGAAATTGACTGGTGCATTAGGAGTAGATATCTGATGGATAATGCTCCGAGCTATGGATTGATGGGCATTGTTGCGTCTCTGTGGTGGGTAGGGACAGGGACTACCCTAATTTTGGACTTTTGGCCCTCCAGTTTGCAGAAAAGTCACCAGTCTGTTTTGGCTTGTAAATATTGTGTCATTTGAGTTATGTAAGAATAATATTATTTGGAGCGTTAGGCATCGTCTATAATAAAAGTTGAGTTGTCATGTAGGAGGTTTATATATTAGATATGTTACTTTGTGCAGAAGCTTAGGTCTTGAATTTGGTAGTCGCAGTTCAACTTTTTATCTGTTGGAAAACTTATCCTGTGACTTGAAAAAGGAAGAGGAAGGGTGACAAATGTGGGGGATTTTGGTTTGATCGGAGGTTATATTTAGTTTGTATTGTTTACCATTTCTGCGATTCAGGTATTGCTAAAAGTGATCATAACTGTTTCAACCATATGATTGGTTGCTTAAAACAGTCTCACAATTAATTGATTATTGAATTATATAAACGAAGAAACATGAAAATCTAGCAAATGTGGTCACCAGGGCTCTGTGTTCGTTGCTCAGGGCTTAGGCTGTGGTTTCAAACTTCAAAGAGGTGTTGACGTAGGTTGTATACAGAATTCAGTGTTTTGTACGGTATGTACCGGTGGCTGGCCAGTCATATGTTTTTTATTTGGCTCAAATTGTTTTCTGGAGTGAGGCGCTTTGGGGTATGGGTGGACTCCAAAACCGGCCCGGCCCGCCACTGTTCTGCCCGGCCCGGCCTGGTGGCCCGGTCAGGGACCGGTCCGGGTAGGCCCGACCCGAGGTGGTTCCGGTCCGGGCTCGGGCTCCTTAAAACGTGAACCAGCCCGGCCGGTTCGGCCCGGTCCGGCCCATTTTTTTTTGAATTTTTTTTTAAAGTTTTTGGATTGGGCTGGGTATTTTGGCCCATTTGAAGTGGTTTGGGGTGGTTTGGGTGGGAGGGGGGGGGGGGGGGGGTTGGGGGTTAATTAGGAAAAGGCAAAAAAAAACAAAAATACCTGAGGCCCGGTCCGACCCGGCGGTTACACGGGCCGATTCTGGGGCCCCCAATCCAGGACCGGAGGCCCGACCCGAACCGAGTTCATCCATACTTTGGGGTGATTGGAGTGTCTGAGTAGGGATGGACCCGGGCCGGTTCGGGCCTTGGCCCGGCCGGGCTTTTTCTCTGCGAAGGGAGAACTGGAACTGGCCCAGGTAGGCAGTGGTTCGGGGCCGGGCCGGTTCCGGTTCAATGTTATTTTTTATTATTTTCTTTTGCTTTTTTAATTATCCCCCGACCCCCCCCCCCCCCACCCAAAACACCCAGCCCAACCTGGTAGAAACAAAAAAAAAATGAAAAACAAAAAAAATTGAAAAACAAACAAAAAAATTGGCCCGGATCGGCCGGGCCGGTTCCACTTTTAGAAGGCCCGAGCCCGCCCCGGGAATTGAGCGGTTCAGTAGGTCCGAACCTGCCCGAAGACCGGCCAACCGGTCCGGTCCGGGCCCAAACAGTACCGGGCCGGTTTTGGGCCGGGCGGCCTGACCCGAGTCCAGTGGCGGAACCAGGACTCGTGACTCGCAGGGGCACAATAACAAAGAAATCATATACTACGTACTACTCTAAAAAAATCATATGCATCACGAATATCACAATAAACCAAACTATAAAATTTAAATAAAATAACTACTTAAAGAGTACCTTAATTTTGATTAGAACCTGACGCGTCAAATGAAGGAGATTCATTGAGAGGCGGCAATCTTTGTTTTCGAGGGGCCATATTCTGAAATCGCTTCATAATGACTTCATTCTCAATTTTAACAAATACATCTTTTTCAATGTAACACATCAAACAATCTGTCAAGTATTCTTCTCCCATCTTGTTGCGCAAATCACCAACAATATCATCATCGGACAATTCAACTTCTATTCGAGCCTTTTTAACATTATTGTCCTTGTTAGTAATGACATTATCTGATGAAGAAACTAAATTATTCGATGAAGAACCACCAATGCTTGGCTGTTTAGGTTCCCGTGTATAATATCGTAACATAGCAATATTTTGTCAAACAACCTAGGCCAATTACAATTGAAATAATATGAGTATAATTGTATAAATTACATTATAACAAATTAACAACATTAAGTCATTAACTAAATCAATAAATACACAATTATAAATTTACAATATAATTAACATTTTAATGAGATTATCAGTTATCACAACATAATTGCCAAAAACTTCAACACTGTATTTGAATTCAACATATAAAAGTATTCAACAATTAACATTTTATTTGAATTAAACAAATACAATACAATACAACAACATCCAAACCTTAGTCCCAAAAGATATTGAGGTCGGCTAACATGTATCGATACATGATATCACCACCAAAAGGCTTCTAGTTCCTACTCGCTGACTCGCTGTTGTGATTTGCTAAAGTTGTAGCTTGAACGCAGTAGCTTGAAGCCTTGAACGTTGACTCGCTTTCAGTTTCCGTCTTTGTAGCTTGAACTTAGTTACGCAGGGGCAGACCGCTTGAGTTGGGACTTGGGGTCTTGGCGTTTTGGCTTTTGAGGAGTTGTGTTGTGGGCTGCCCCAGGAAAGGAATTTTGGGATTGGGCTGGCACAAGGGAAAGGGTTAAGGTAAAGGGCTTTTGGGATTAGGCTGCAGGGGCTCAACTAATTAAATATTAATATATGTATATATATGTATATATAAAAAAATCACTGCAGGGGCACGAGCACCCCCGAGCACTAGGCTGGTTCCGCCCCTGCCCGAGTCCACCCCTATGTCTGAGGTAGAGATATGTTTTGTTGAAATAGACTTCTCTGTCTGTTCCTGCACAGGATGCAATAGATGGGCTGGCTTGCTAGAATGGCTGTTGGCATAGATTTTCCAGTTCTCTTTGCTAGAGTGGTGGGAGCAGGAGGCTGGTTTATTGATGTTGCAGTGGCAAGATTCCAGGAGGCACTATTCAAGAGGGAGGTAAAGGTGTGTGTACCAGATGGTGTGCAAGATGGAAACGCCGCAAAGGATAACTGGTTCTTTATTCAAGACACGCTATTGAGTGCTAAGGGTCGTAATGTGTGCGTGGAGGTTGTTACAGTGGAGTTCATTGGGAGGGTTAGATTGGTGCGATTCATCCATGTTGCCGGACATGTTCCAGAAAAACAAGGGTGGGCACGTAGCATCGGCCCTATCATCCAGAGGCGGACCGTAGTACAGATTCAGGGGGGCTGCCGCCCCCCCAACAATTTTTTTTAGTGTTGATATATACAAAATTTTTATTTTTACCCCCCTAACATTTAATTCTCGCCCCTCCAAGAAAAATTTTGAACCCCCCCAAAAAATATTTTCTCCCCCAAAGCATAGCCCACTCGCAGAAACTCAATTGTTTAAGAGCCTAAAAAATAGAAATTTTACAAGTAATATTATATCAACTCACTCCAAAATTTATTCCCCATTAACCCACCCCAAAATCTAATCCCAGCCCACTGCCCAGACCAAACTAATGAAAAACATGCGCACCTAGAAGAAAGAAACGGAAAGATCGATTATTTTTAAATGATTGTCCTTATGCCTACTATGTTCATTGTTTAGCACATCAGTTGCAATTAGCATTGGTTGCTGCTTCTAGAGAGGTGAAATATGTGCATAATTTTTTCATCGATTCAGTCTTTATTATTAATGTGACTAATTCTTCTTGCAAACGAAGTGATGAATTAAAGGAAGCTCAAGCACTTGAAATTGCAAGAATGTTGGAAATTGGTGAGCTTGAAACAAGCAGAGGACTTAATTAGGTTGGTACATTACAACAAGCTGGGGAAACTCGTTGGAGCTCACATTTCAGTTCTGTTTGCAGTTTGATTAGGATGTTTGCTGCGACTTGTTCTGTTTTAGAAGATGTTGAAGAGAATGGCAATAACTATTCTACTCGTGGAAATGCAGCTAGAGAACTTAAGAAGATTAAATCTTTTGATTTTGTTTTCTTGTTGCATCTTATTAAAGAAATTATGGGCATTACAGATCTTCTAGGTCAGCATATACAGAAGAAGTGCCAAGACATAGTAAATGTTATGCATTTGGTGTCAAGCACCAAAATGTTAATCCAAAAGTTAAGGGAGGGTGGATGGGATAACTTCTTAGAAATTGTTAAAGAGTTTTGCACAAAGCATGAAATTGAAGTTCCTAATATGAAGTCTCCTTATGCGGTAAAACGCAAACGCCATGATCAAGAAGGGTTTGATATTGAACGTCACTATCGGGTTGATATGTTTTACGCAGCCATAGATTCATAATTGTTGGAGCTGAATAGCAGATTCGGTGAACAGATAATGGATCTTCTTACTCTTAGTGGTGCTTTGGATCCTAAGGACTCATATAAGTCTTTTAACATTGATGATATCTGTTCTTTAGTGGATAAATATTACCCCTTTGATTTTATTGAGCAGGAGAAGGTGAGCTTGAGGTTTCAATTGCAACATTATAAGCTCAATGTTCTAAACCATCCAAAGTTGGCGAATTTTTCTACAATGGGTGAACTTTGTCAAAGATTAGCGGACACGGAGATGTCAAAAGTGTACTTTCTTAGCTTGTTGATAAATTGATCCGACTTTTGTTGACTACCGGTTTTGACAGCAACAACCGAAAGGACTTTTTCCGCAATGAAAATTATAAAAACAAGGCTTCACAATAAAATGGAGGATGAGTATGTTGCAGAAAACCTTATTGTTTATATTGAAAGAGAAATTGCTAAAACTTTTGACTAAAAAGCCGTGATTGAGGAATTTATCTCGTTGAAGAAGCGTTGGGTACAATTCTAAGGTACTAACTTTAACTATTTTGTAATAATATATTTGTCTCTTCTTCTATTATAATGCTTCATTTAATTACTACTCCGTATTATATTAAGGTTATAACTTATAATAATAATCGCCTAGATTTTTTTTGTTTAATTTATCGCCCCCCAATATCAATTTCCTGGGTACGCCCCTGAGCATCTCGGTAATTCCGGTGGCAATGGCTTCGAGGTCATCGGACAAGCTGTGACTAGGTTGCCATGAAAGAGGTGATTGTTAGAGATGGTGTCCAAGGGCTGGTTTGAAGTAGATACCTAGTGATGGTTTGGGATCAATGGCTCTGCTTCCAGTCATTTCATTTTTCTTTTTTGCACTTTCTTTTTAAAGGTTTGAGTAATGTTTGTGAGTTTGTTGGATCAAGGGCTCAGCTTGCTGTAAATTCATTTTTCTTTTTCGCACTTTATTTTTAAGGGTTTGAGTAATGTTTGTGAATTTGTTGTTTACTGAAACTGAAGGCTCCCATTTTTCCTACACATGGTTAGCATTCGAGTTGTTGATGATCTCTAAATCTAATTGCTGGAGTTTTACTTGGGTCCGGGAGTACTGATTTGGTTCTAGTTGGAGTTTTTTTTGTGTGTTATTTTGGAAGTAACGTAAGGATCATGATTTTATTAATATATTAATGTAGGCGATTTTCATTGAAAATAAGAAACATGCAAGGAGTTCATTCAACAGAACAGTTTAACATTAACTCAAATTAATCAGTGCAATTGGATTCCGTCCATTCGAACTCCGTCTTATTGAGGAAAAGTGGCTTAAATTGATACCACAACATACAGATAAGAGCTAAAAAGACAAAAAGACCGTAAGCAACTGCCAACCGTCGAACCAGACTCAGAGTTAACCACCTTAAAAGAAGCAATATAACTCGTTGATTCATTTATGGGCGCAACTGAGACAAAGGCGGAAAGCACAGACCTCCTGTCACCCAAATCCAAGATCAAAGTCTTACAAATTACAATGCAAAAAAATAACAAGCTGAAAATAAACAAAGTACTCAACAAGTACAACAAAAAAATAAAATCTCTCCTTCGTCTTCCAGAAAGAAAATACCAAATAACATCCCGAGCCTGTAACCCTAGACTTTTCTGCACTCCATGGCGGTGGTTCAGGAGGAGGTCGGACCAACAATACTGCATCTTCTTCCTCATCCTGCTCCTTGTTGATCAAACTCCCTGTCATACTCTCACGTTGCCAAACGTCAATCCTCAATATGCAAATTAAAGAAAGCAAAACAAAAACCTGCACAATCAAATCCGTTGCCTCTCTTCCTCTAGCCCTGTCAGTCACACCAAAGTCGACCTCCCTCTGTCGTTCGTACGTCAAAATAGCTGCAAGATTGGAACGCCTAAACCGCAACACTCCTTCCAGCCGCCTGCCAATCCACCTCACCGAGCTTCACAAATCAAAGAAGAAGAAAATGCCGCTCCTCCACTTATGTCGATAGCGGAAAATTGACCCTAGCGGCTAAAGTCCTCGGACTCGAGTTCGGTCTTATTGGAAAGTTATATATTTATGGGAAAACATGTGTATGTTAGAACTTTAATAAATACTACGTATATATCTTTGGTATAATTTTCTAAATTGAAATGTAATTAGTCCCTAATTACTAACGAATTACGCAAGCATTATTTGAATATTTATGATGCACGCATATTTATCTATCCTAGTAAAGGATCTTAAGCTAGAGAGAGGCTTTGAAATTAAAAAAAAGAGAGGGTGGGGGCGGGGTATGGGTGCAGACTTACTCTCACTTTTCCATCATCACGTTTGAAACGCAATTCGTAATTTCATATATTTGTCAGTTTTCGACTTTCCATAAGTACTTTTTGTTTGGGATTGTCCCATTTTTTACCATATATTAGGGATTGTCCCATTTTTTACTTTTTGTTTGGTCCTACTAAGATCAAAATTGTCTTATGTCAAATTGGTAAAGTTTGTGTGACTCTAAATTATTTTTACTTTATTCTTACTTTATCAATTCAATATTAATCACATAAACCATTTTTATTGATCTGTGTGTCACTTCATCTTGTCTCATTGTTAGTAGGACAGAGGGATAATATTTGGTTTGATTTGTCTTGTAGGTGGTTGATTGCTGTCGGATAGATTATTCAGCCCTACTTTCTTGATAAACCCAATTAGTTGTAATACTCGTATATGTATGTAATAATGTAGTAACCAATTATTTACTCAACAAGTCAACCTTTGGAGTTTGGACTGTTCTAAATAAAAATGAGGTATACTATCAGTGATCAGTTGTGATACAAACTAAAATGAGATCATTATTTCCCCATAATCTTAATTGAGTAATAATTAAATAGACGGTTGTGCATTTATCAATTTCTAGGAACTAAAACTAACAAATACTCGTAATAATTAAATAAATGAAAGTGGGATTTACTTTATTGTACTACTAAAGTCTTTTCTATCTTGTTTTAAAGTCGTCTAAAATAATCATTTCTCGAATATGTTGATACTTCTCGCAAGAGTGGTATAAATTGACATTTTATCCAAAAAAAACTAAAATTTAGTAACGAATAAAAACAAGAGCAGAAAACGTTGAATTTAAAACAATCAACACGGAGAAAACTGAGAATATGCACAGTGATATGTGCATGACCGAGGTCTTATCTTTTTTGATAATATTTTTGTCAATCAAAGTGTTTACTTCTAGACGTTGTACTTGACATTATGGAGAAAAATTTATCAAAAACAAATAAGATCGTAGAAAGCGAGAGAAATGTCATCGTTTTTTATCTCTCTCATGTCATATATGCACCGTTCAAATTATTACAATGGAGATGATATTAAAATTTAAACACAGAACTGATTTTGGTTTAAACTAAAGAGTAATTGAGTTGAACTAATGAAATATATAGAATAGGCTATATATATCCGCCCTAGCGCAGCGTATCAAGTTTCGGAATTCCATGCACAACGTCTCCCTAGCGGCTTTGCCGCCGCGTAGGGTTTCCTTCCCCCAATTGTTTGTGCGGCTCTTCTTCTCTAGGCTTCCAGAGTGCTTTTTAAGTTTAGATTGTTGCTTCTGGTTTTGAGATTTAGGCAACTTTCAGATTATCCATTGGATCTCGAAGCTGCGACAAGATTTCATCTTTGTTTTCTGATCTCTTTTCTCGGCTTGTGCAAGTCAATCTTAAAGGAGGCGTGAGTGCGGCTGCAGCTTTTGGAAACTAATCCAAAGTTTAAGAAACAATATCATGTCTTCTATGGATGATCTAGAGCATCATTGTCTCATTCCCGCAATTGAGGAGGTCAAAAGGTTAGTTTCTGACGAATCAACATGGATAGAGGGCGGTGGTGGTAGTGGAGGCGGAACGGGCGATGAGAAGACGGGAGAGATGAAGGGCTGAGCAAGGGAGAAGATGTATCGGCGGTCCGCCCCCTCCTGAACCGCCGCCTTGGAGCGATCGAGGTGCTAGAGTTCGGAAGATTTGTCAGTTATTTAATTTTTTATGGTTTTATTTCCGCGTAATGTTATATGCTGCTCCGTTTTTTGTTGATGTCTTTAGTTTTAGGTCAACAATTATGATTGGCAATTCTGCTAGATATTATGTCGTTAGAAAGATCTATATGTGCAGTGATTGCGGTGTCACACCCGCTTGGTGGTTAGCGATTCGTATTGCTCTTTCAGGGATGATCGTCTCTGAGTCTAGCCGTAGGGTTGATAGTGCTAGTTGGTTAGAGATAGTTGTTGTTAAGGTTGGTCTTTTTGAGTTTGTCGTAGCAATCCGATTCCTAATGATATTAATATAAGCAGTTTGTTCTTATGATTAAAAAAAGGATAGGCTATATGGAAAAATGAATTTATATTAAAAGTATGAAGAGTGGAGAGTCATTGAATTGAGCTATTGAAATTTAGACGTATTATTTTATAGAAAAAAGAATTTACAAAACAAATCTAAAGAGCCATTGAGTTCAGCTATTCAAATATTGATATAGGCTATATGAAAAAAGAATTTACAATAAAAGAATAAAGAAAGAACTAAATTTATGTTGAGTTATTAAAACTGGAGAGTAATTGAGTAAATGAAATAAATGAAATATTGAGGAGTTAATTACCTTTATAGGAGTAAAAAGTTTACAATTTGCCAAAGTAGGAGTATTCACGTAATCTATGTTTGATAGGGGTCTTTTAATATCAAGTTTGACAAAAATAACCTTCTAGTAAATATGATACGTACGTTCCTCTTCGGCACAATTAAAGATTCGTTTACTGATAGATCTGTTCGACATTGCTGCTATCATGTTGAGCTTCAAGCCTTTATAGTTTATAAACTCTTCTTTTAGTCTTGTTTGTTGGTTTGTGCGTCTTTCAATCACCAATTTTTGCCGCAAAAAAGGTTCTTTTATATTGAATTGTTTTAATCAAACATATTTAAATTTAATCATACGGATATTGAAATTGATAGGATGATCACCCTTACTAATTTGCCTTTGAATGTTATAAATTAACAAGTAAATCACCTACGCCGTTGCCGCCATTCTAGTCACCGTTATCATCTTTTATTAAAAACTGTCGCAAGTGCCAATTTAGGGACCACCGCTTCCCCTCTGAGATTGCCGTCGCCGTCAAAACTCCTATGTTACTAATCAGCCATTAAGTTGGCAGATTAATTACGAATCTGCCATAATGTTGGCAGATTTACACATAACTGCCATAATCTTGGCAAAATATGAAGTGAAGTACTAAAAATTCGGTTTTACAAAATTGAACAAAGCTTTAATGATAAAAATCCACCATTTAATACTTTAACAAATCCACCTCAATCAGAAACAAGAAGTTAATGATAAAAATCAGAAAACCATTTTACACCAAAGCTTATTTATCAATTTCGGGACCACCGCTTCCCCTCTGAGATTGACGCCGCCGTCAAAACTCTTATGTTACTAATCAGCCATTAAGTTGGCGGATCAATTACGAATCTGCCATAGTGTTGGCAGATTTACACATAATTGCCATAATTTTGGCAAAATATGAAGTCAAGTACTAAATATTCAGTTTAATAAAATTGAACAATTACTTTAACCAATCCACCTCAATAAAAAACAAGAAGTTAATAATAAAAATCAGTAAACCATTTTACACCAAAGCTTTTTTTTATTTATCATTTTACGATTGCCAGTGTACATTTTTGCCATAAATTTGGCAAAAAATTATGCCATCATCCAAAAATTCAGAAAATCAGGAAAAACTGAGAAATCAAAAAATGGAAATACGAAATTGATGTCCAGAAATTAACAAATCAAATACCAAAACTCAAAAAATAGAGAAATAGAAGAAAAATAGAGAAATAGAATAACGGGATGAGGAGGAAGAAGAAGAGGAAGAAGAAGGATGAGGAACCTGATTTGCAAACAGAGTGTGTTGGAGTCAACGACGGCAGATATGGCTAGGTACGAAATCGGCGATGGCATGCGGAGAAGAAGTTGATCAATTTTATTCGCATAGATTGAAGTTGAAGTCGACGGATCTAATTTGCAGGGGAGAAGAAAGTGATCGATGGAGTAGGGGAGGTGATGATGCGCATAAAGGAAGGAGAAAATTGTGAGCAGGAGAGTGGATCAATCATTGGTTAAACAAAATAGGGGCAAGAATGGAATAGAAGTCTATATGTTTTGAATAGGAGTAATATGATCTTATTTGGGAAAAAAAACATACATACTCCTATTTTAGAATTTCTCTCTTGTTTTACTCCTCTATGAGGCAATTTTTTCAATATTGAAATATAAGCTGTAAATATATTTGAAATAATAAATGAATTGAATAGAGCTTCAACCCATCATAACTTAAGTATAATTTTGCCAAAAAAAAAGAAGAAACTCAAAGTATAATTATATGGGTACACATTGCTCATCACTTGCACCTACCATATGCTTCCTCACCACACCATACCGCACACATGTTTCAAAAGCTAAGGCTTTGTTTACGGCTTATGATAGTTATCAATTTTAACTATATCTCTTTAATACTTTTTAAAGACAAAAAAATAAGAGTTGAAAAACTTTCAAACTAACGTTGTTAATTTGTTAGGTTACTTATGTACACACAAGCATCTATCAAATTAGACCACCAATTAGATTAGATCAAATCAAATGCATCACACTAAATCAGAAAATTTCAATCCCAATTAAAAACATCATTGATAATCACGTCAAAATGTTATGTGAAAACATGCTAAGACCATCTCCAATACCATAATATACGCAGTGCACATGTGACATGAAAAATATAAACACACAAATATTTGTAAGCAAAATATCTCGTTGTTTTTTTAACAGTCTTATATATTTTTCGTAAAAAAAATTCTACAATGTTAAAAAGATTGTATAGATGTAATCATTACAATTGATATTATAATCAAAATTATATAAAATTGTGGAAAGAATGAGAGAAAAATATCAATAAGTTATTTTTATGTATCTATTTCTCTTGCTACATGCGCAGTGTGCATCGTGTATATTGTATCATTGGAGATACATCATACGTTGTACTCCATCCATTTCTCTATAATTGTCTCATTTTTCCATTTTTGGATGCTTTACTATTATTGTCTCATATCATATTTGATAACATTTGTGTGACTCTAATTCATTCTTACTTTATTCTCATTTTATCAATTTCTACTTCTGTGTGATATCAATTCAGTCTCACATATTCTACTTTTCTTAAAAATCACATTATTCTCTGTCCCAATATTAGGGGATGAAGGAGTATAATATACCAATTCATTAACGATCCAATTACTACAAGCTTCAAAAATAGAATGCGACAATGGTTGCTCACATCCCCTGCCACCAACTATTGCTTTCTCTACTTTTCCTGTTTCTCTTTATATCATCGGCCGCCGTAGCTGCCTCTAGCATAACCAGAACCTCTGCCACCCACGAAGATTTCAAAGTTGAAGAGTCCATTTCGCTGGCCACCAAAATCCTTCCGCCCAACCCTCAGGAATTCGATGACGGAAATCTCAAAGTTCCAGAGCAGGGGATGGTGCGTAATTGGAAGCTCAAAATCCTACACCGCGACAGATTAACTCTTCCTCGTATTTCCGGCTTCCGGAACCGGTTCGAATCCCGAATGAAAAGGGATGAAAACAGAGTATCCACTCTCATTCGCAGAATTCGCGGCGGCGGCAGTGGCGGCAGCGACGGAGGTGAAAACGCATCCATTGAGACCGCTGCATATGAGGTTGAGGGTTTTGGGACGGAAGTGGTTTCCGGTGTGGATGAAGGGAGCGGAGAGTACTTTGTCAGGATCGGGGTTGGGATTCCGGCGACATATCAGTATATGGTGATCGACTCCGGGAGTGATATTCTGTGGGTTCAATGTCAACCCTGTACCCAATGCTACCATCAATCTGACCCGATTTTCGATCCGTCTCTCTCGGCATCGTTCGCCGGGATGCCCTGTAACTCCTTCCTTTGCGACCAGATAGAAAATTCGGGGTGCAATTCGGGTCGGTGTGAATACAAGGTCCGGTATGGGGACGGGTCCTACACGAAGGGGATGATGGCGTCCGAGACTCTCACGTTCGGGGAAACTGTGGTCCGGAATGTGGCCATCGGGTGCGGGCATAGTAATCGGGGCATGTTCACCGGAGCTGCTGGGTTGTTGGGTCTAGCCGGGGGATCCATGTCGCTCGTGGGTCAGCTCCGCGGGGAAACGGGTGGAGCTTTCAGTTATTGCTTGGTCACCCGTGGCACCGAGTCAACCGGCTCATTAGAGTTCGGGCGTGGAGCCTTCCCAGTGGGTGCCGCATGGGTACCATTGATCCGAAACACACGGGCCCCGAGTTTTTACTACATCGGGCTTTCGGGTTTGGGCGTTGGAGGCGTTCGGGTTCCAATACCCGAAGACGTATTCGGGTTGACGGACCTAGGTGATGGCGGAGTGATCATGGACACGGGCACAGCGGTTACGAGATTTCCCACGGTGGCGTACATTGCGTTGCGCGACGCATTTGTTAACCAAACCGCCAGGCTTCCGCGGGCACCCAACGTCTCGATATTTGACACGTGCTACGATCTTAATGGGTTCGTTACCGTTCGGGTACCGACCGTTTCATTTTTCTTTACGGGCTGTAACACAATCCTGACCCTACCCGCTACCAACTTTCTTTTACCAGTGGATGAAAAGGGCACTTTTTGTTTTGCATTTGCTCCATCTCCAAACGAATTGTCCATCATTGGGAACATCCAGCAACAAGGCATCCAGATTTCGTTTGACGATCCAAGTGGTTTTGTTGGTTTTGGCCCCAATATTTGTTAATTACTGCGTAATAAATAAATGAAGATTTGAACTTTATTTGGACTTTTTTTAAAAGGAGAACGCTTATATTAAACTCACAGGAACGAACGAACAAACATCAAACTTTTCAACCGGTATTTGACCATTCTTTGTGTAAAAATTTGATAAGAATACTCACATTTATAGTCCCAATTATTGGATACCTATATCATAACTAATCCAATGCAAACATTGCCATTTGCCGTTGCTCTGTGAAACCTATCTTGTATTCGTCATTAGACCAAACAAGTTTACTTTATATGAGATTTGGAAAATTGTAAAATACACATAAAACATACATTTATCATATCAGATCACCTAAAATCAAACCATGCTTATACAAACTAGATCAAAAATTATAATCCATTAAAAAAAGTCTAGCAATTTACCCTTACAAACTAGGTCAAAAATTATAATCCATTAAAAAAAGTCTAACAATTTACCCTGGCTTATCTCTAGAAACTCATACCGCCATCAGACTATCACTATAGATACCAAGTTGTTTGAAGTTTAATCCCGTCGCAGGTATGACTTCGAGAGTAACTAGTTTCAATTCTAGAAATCGTTCCTCACAACTAATGTGCAATTTATTAGCAAGGCAATAGAAAGATTAATGTAGGCATGGACACGGACCAGGTCCGGGTCGGGCCTAGGACCAGGCGGGCCGACAGTTCAGAATTGGTGGACCCGGGACCGGCCAGGGTAGCCACCGGGTCCAGTCCGGGCCGGGCCTCCGGTTTGGTTTTTTTTTTGCTTTCCTAACCCCCCTCCCACCCCCCCACCCCCACCCCACCCCCCCCAAACCCCTCCTAACCATCAAGCCCAACCCGGGTGGAACCCCAAAAAATGAAAAAAAAAAAAAAAAAAAAATGGCCCGGGCCCGACCCGACCGGTTCGTCAAATGTAAGACTCGAGCCCGGACCCGCCCCCCCAGGCCTAGGACCGGACCCGAGAACCGGGCCGGTCCATGGGCCGGGTGGCCCGACCCGAATCCACCCCTAGATTAATGGTCTAGTTCATTTCCAGAATCGGGAACTGGTCCACCGTCCACCCCCAATTCAGTATTTAGAAGATTTTGATAGGGACACGGACAATTGTAATTTGTAAAGGAGATTCGGTACATATTGTTGAGTTCTATTTTGTTCACCCCTTCATAGAGGGTGAACATCACCCCCCTCCCTCCAACACATGACACTTGGCAAGACTTTTAAATTTTGCAATTGTAATGCCAAGTGTCATGTGTTGGAGTGAGGGGGGTGATGTTCACCCTCCATGAAGGGGTGAACAAAATAGAACTCCATATTGTTGGACATAAAAATTTACCATTGTTGATTTAAAAGCTTTATGTAACTTTCACCGATCATCATTCTGATTTTTCTTGCAAATTTCTATATAAAATTCAAAATAATTTTTTTAATCAGTTATGTTTTTTTACATTTTTTAAATCAGTGAAGGCCATTTATATATATAAAAGTTAAAGTTAAAACAAACAAACAGTTTTAAAATTTGAGTAAATTTACATGGTTGTAAATAAATGTCCCTTGTCAAACTTGCACAAGTATACCAGCAGTCAAACACGACTCTTTTTTTAAAACAATGAATCTTTTAAAACAAAGGGGGTGTTTGGATCTGATTCTCAAAACTGATTCTGCTCCTTCAGGGAGCAGAAGCATAAGCTGGAGTGTTTGGGTGAAATTCCAGAAGCACTTCTGGAACTCTAATTTACTCTCAGAATCAGTTTTTTTAGAAGCTGGGGGGTACCAGCTTCTGAAAACTGATTCTGATTCTGCTTCTGCTTTTAAAAAAGAAGCAGAAGCAGAATCAGTTCCAAACACCCCCAAAATGAGTTAAATTTGAATATGCATTATGCAATACGCTCATTTCCTTTTTACTCCAAAAATATATTAGCAGCACGAATAATAAAACGTCACAATATATTCGCAGCCACTGAAACGAAAGTATGGGTCTTTCATATAAATCTACTCCCACCAAACAAACAATATACATAAGAAATAAGAAATCTAACTACAAATTTTTCATTAGGTTCAACTCTAAGATAAACACCACCTACTTTGTCAAACTGACCAATCATAAAAGCCTTTATATTAGATCTTAGATATTATATGCAATGTGTGGAAATGGCCTAGACAACAGAAGTACCCTCGGTTTTATTGTACCGTGAAACTAGCTTTTGGAAACCTAACAGCTTGTTCAATGCACCAATATATGCTCTCACACTAGAGATGACAATGTCCATAGATGCCCCTGTTCCACTGAGCAGACAACAAAGATAATGGAAATAATATCAAATTCGACTCACAAAAAATCAGAAATAATACCAAAGAAACTTCAAGGGATCATATGGAAGGTTTCCCAACACCTCAATTGAAAATAATGCTACAGTCAAGAGAATGCAATGATAAAAGAGAGCTTGTGCCATAGGTACCTATACGAGCGGTTGGCACTCTCTCCGGTTAAACCATGGTCTGGTGTACTGTTGTTCCGAATAAGAACTCTAGTGGTGGCTATGGCATCAATACCTTCAGTAACAGCAGTCATAGAATACTCGAGGAGAGTTATTGGCACCTGCACTCCAAAAGACAATAATTTGAAAAGATAATGAGCATGTTTGGTTCGGGAATTTTGAAGGGGGTGGAATGGTAATATGGTATGGGTGATACTTATTTTTGAAATAATTCTTACATTTAGATAGTTTTTAAATAAAGCTATTAAACTAAATAGAGACAATGTCTAGCTAATATTTTAATTATTTAAAGTCAAAACCAACCAATAGTGATAAATTAATAAAACAGAAATCAATCATCCCCTTTCCTTCCCTTCAAAATCCCTCAAAGAAACATTCCCTAAGGATGTGGAATGCAATGGGGTTTGCTATACTCATAAGTAGAACTTGTATCAAAACCTTAACACACATAGTTCATAAGGTGATAATGTATCGTTTTAAACCTTTGTAATTAGATCAACTGCCTTATAAGCCGCATCTACAGGGCCAGTGCCGACAGAACAAGCAATGTGCTCTTCACCGTCAGCATCAATGAGTTTAACCGTTGCCGTTGAAAGGCCAAGACTGCCACATGTTACCTGCCCATTGTTTATAGCGTCATTATAATTGACTGAATGCTCGGGCTCATCCATGTGAATCATAAGTTAGAAAATAAAATACTTCTGCAAAGAACGGGTAGAGATTATAAACCTGTGCATCCCCAAGTCTCCAAAACACTTGTGGCTGGAAAACTTCATCTGATACTAGTGCAATTAGGTCTTCTTCAGTTACTTTCTGAAAGTAAATAAAGTAAATCCAATGCATCAATGTTAGGTGTTGTTGTAAATGCATCGATGGTGTTGTTGTTGGGAATAAGGCTTGGATGTTGTTGTAAATGCATTGATGCATCTCCAGTATTAAAGTTGCTAAAAACGAGAGATAGTAGCTGGTATAAATTGGGTAGGAGATAAAAATCAATTGCACAATAGTACTACTAATGGTTCCTCTTTTGCCATTAGCCTAAATACAAAAAATTTAAAGTATGTATTCTTAGAAATACACTATTGCAGGTTTTGTCTGCAGTAGTAGAACTGCAAAAATTATACCAGGAATTCTAAGGTCCTGCTCAAAAGAGCAGGTACGCCATATCTATATCATGAATATGATCACTGAATACTCAATATATGCGCACATTTGGACAAATGCCAATGCTCTAGGTCTGTCCTTTAGAAAACAAGTGTACCTTGTCTGCATGAGCTTAATAAAAGCTTACTTAAGATTTTTCCTAGTACAAGTAGATATGCTCATTTTTACTGTACAATCATAGGCATGTGAAACCCTATCTCAGATTATGGAGGAGCTAATTAGAGAACATTATACACAACTTTTTGAAAGGTATTCATTTATTTACTTAAAAGGGCATCAACTAATTTGCCAGAGAAACTTCTAGTAACTATTTATTACCCTCTTTCACTTCTCTACCTTCAATAGAAAATTTCATTGCATCTTCACGTTGTAACTAGAGCAGGCATTCCAATTGAACATTGATTGTCCATATAATGAGATATTGAGTTAAAGGATTTCAATGGAGCAATGTCACAGACATCATACTTTAGTGGAATAGGTGGACTATCAATATAATAAGTGAGGTTTAATTTAAATTTCCCTCAATGAAAAAAAAAAGATAGTTTAAAAAGCAGACCAATAATATCACTGACGGGGTTCACCTTTTTCATTCCAGCAACAGATTTAAAACGCCAAAAGAGGTCCTCTAATTGCTTTCCTTCAATCTCATAACCAAGCTGTAAAACGAATGAAAATGTAGAACTTTATATGCACTAGCAAACAGACAGGAAACACGTTAAGATCTCCAAAGTGGTCGAAAACAAGTGTAATATACCTCCATGATTTTGGCTTGCAAAGCATGACGCCCACTGTGCATATTCAATAGGTTAGGAGAGGAAAATATAAAAAGAAAGAGCCTATAGGACCACCATAAAAGGAGGCAATGGTGGGAAGTTGCAAAAACTGAACCATTGTCCTTTAATCTAAGCAGGAACAAAACACTAGGGCGAATTAACCATTAATGGGAGAGTAGAATCAAATGTCCTGTGCATGCTTATTCTCAGTGAAATGACTTTTCTTAGGAACTATGATGGAAACTTAGAAACTAGACAAGGTCACTAACATACAATTAGAGTTTTTACTAGATCAGCTTCACAAAATGTATTTCTCCACCCATGAAGTTGATTAAGAACAACCATTTGATGGGAAAATGAAGAATACCTTAGTTTCCCGAGGACAATACCAGATTCATTTGCTCGATGAAGCCCAATATCTTCTGGAGACATTATCTCATATGTATCTTTGTTTTTCAGCATTCCGTCCTGGAAAAAAGCATACAGATTGAGGCAAAAGAAGCCCTGAGTAAGTGGAAGGGAAATACAGTGGAGCTGTTGAAGCATACATCACATTTGACATCATTTACTTCAATTCTTTTTTCTTTTTCTTTGTT